CTGGTAGATTCGCCCCGAATGCATGCACATTTCCCGTTACGTTACAGCAATGATAAAATTTCGGAAGAAGATCTTCTGTCGCACTTGTACACATCCGTACTTCAAACTTTTCAATATGTTCACTCGGAATCAACTAACTCTGGGTTTCTAACTCAGAAGTTCTAAGAGGAAGCTCAGCGCTAGAGCTTCCTTCTAGAGCTTCCTTTGATAACCGGTAGCGTGATCGGGTGTCGTTATCGGACAATCCCTCAAGAGGATCGACGAAGGGCATTTATTGTTTTTATGAACAATTAATTGAATTAAGGAATGCGTAGTTCACAGTGTGAACTTCACACCGTGTGGCTGCATGTACCACATGCGCTATACCTCCATACACCGTTTTGTATCGTATGACCTCATAGTTGAACTGGTTAAGGTGATACTTTTATGTGCTCGAAGCCGGGGTTCTAATCCCGGGCAGTGTCATACTAATATCCTGTATGTACTACGTGCGCTATACCTCCTTGCAGCGTCTTGTATTATATAATCTCACAGCTCAACTGGTTAAGGATATGCTTTCAATTGGTCGAAGCCGAGGTTCTATCCCCCGGTACGGTCATTCTAAGAACCTACTCGGCGAGTAGTACTCGCAAGGAGCTGAGAAGGTCTACCGTGGCGCGCGCTGAAGTCGTGAATCAAGGTCGAGAATCAGAATCAGGGTTTGGTACCGGGGGTCCGGACCCCCGGTACAGAATCAAGATTAATCCCCGTGTTAAACTGTGAGCTTGTGCATCATGAGTATGATCCCGGATCATGCTCAAGGTGAGATTGCGATCTTGAATCTGAGCAGCTTTGAGGTTGAGTAAAAGAATCTCGACTCCTGAGAATTAATCTCGAATCACGAGTAAAAATCCCAACTCTGAGTATTTAATCTCGAGTTGATGAAATACTCTGACTCAGTATCAAAAACTCTGAATCAGCCATTGAGTATACATTTGAATCTTGAATCGTGATTAAGGATCAGGAATCGGATTCAGCGGCTGATTAAAATCAAGGATCGAGGATCTTGCTCATGATTACGTAATCTGACTCTGTCTCAAGTACTCATACTCAGAAATCTCGACTCTTTCTCCTGAGCTAAGAATCTGAATCAGTTCTCTCGAATCAAGGTGTGACTTGAATCATGAATCAGGATCAGAGCGTGAGTTGAATCATGGACTCAGATTCATGAATCAGGATCCGCATACGGCCCCAGGACTGCGAGACTATTCCCAATCACTAAAGCCGGACATGGAGGAGACTTCCACACACGATCTACCCGAAGTGGTTGAATTCAAACATGGTTGAAGCTCGTGAGTGTCGAGTCGAGACAACCATGCACCACAGAATCTGCTGTTCGCCCAGACAGAGCAGTGGTGGCCTTTAGAGCTAGTGTGTGGAGCACACTGTCTTCAATGCCAGCGTGGTACTCTTTTTGAATGATCGAAGCTACAGGGTTTGGTAAAAAGACGAAGTTGACGACGAACTCGCCGCACACTGTTCAGACCCCCATCGTAAAACGATATGTTTTTAGTCATATAATCGCAACCATATTATAGCACAAATGAAAGCCCGGACTTCCGTTCGCGGCCTTGCGTAACATCGACAAGAGCCGAGTCGACTAGCAAGGGGGAGGAGTCTCCCACAAGGCGCCCCACCCAAGGCGGGATGGGTGGGACAAAAACATCTTCCACACACTTAGCACTCTAGTGTTGGGCACCAACTGTCTGCGATGAGCCTAACGGTGGCGTGGCTGGTCTCGCATGGACGCACATAACTAGTTTACGCAGCAGACTGCCTCACATTTCCCCTCAACACACAGTGTATCAAGCAACAAACTCGTCCCCAATTACCGGTTTCGAAGCCCGAAACTGAACACAACTGCATGAGGTAGGTACTGCCTAGCCAAAGGTGAACGGGCACCAAGGTAAATGTTCGTTGAATCAACGCGTAACGTTAAAGAGTAAAAACACCCGCAACTGCATGACCATTCACATCAGGGTTGGACACAAGTGAAGCATTACACACCGATACTGCTCGAAATATTCTCGAGTTTTCCCATACAGCCTATACCGTATAGGCCATGTGATACACGGACCAAGTGGATCCATCATTAACTGAAATTTGCCTACTCTAGACAAAGGTATTCTGAGCGAGGTCTCGTTTGGACTCGCTTACTATGGTAAAGCGATCGATTTCTGGAAGCCTCCATAGAAGCAATCACCGCTGGGAATTATAGTGGTACCTCACAAGGCTCTCAAACTTCCCTGATATCACCGCCGTCGATTCCAGGGAGGAATCTAAAATAAGACTTTAGGAGGCTTCCGTGACATGAACTGCCCAAGCCGTAGCTATCCATCGTACTTATCGTCACTGGCCATCCGCAGAGACTACTGACATATTCCCTCTACTGTGCGCAACGCAAGAGCATAGTAGTGAATCTAATGTTGATTATAGTACTGAGAATGAATGGATCGTCATAGACTACTTACCAAGCATGAAGCAGTGGGGGCTCTGAGGAGGATTTGAATGGACCGATACGGGATTATGGGAGTTATTACAATTTTCGACCGGATGTCTTCAACAAAGTATCGCAAAGGCAGACAGAGCAGTACTATCCCAACGTCCAACAGAGACATTAGCCCAGTGCCAAGGATCTGAAAGCCAACCTCACTGAGTGTCAGCAGATCTGTAGACGGAAAGAACGTATAAGGTGAGAGCTGCCGCAAGATCAGTACCTCTCAATTTCGAAAGCTCGGACTACAATTGCATGAAATGTATAAGTGACCACGACTGGGAATGCCGGCCATAGTCCTTGATAAAATGAAGAACAGTTACGCTTCTTCGACACGGTGAATTCCTGTGCGAGTTCCACGATCACTATAATGACACCGAGCCTCTTTGGAAACCTCCCACTTACAACAATCGCGACGGCCGTGAGCATAACCGTATGTATTGTTAGCAGCTCCACTCGATGGTAGTAGACTCCCAATACTAAAGAAAGACATACAGCTGTAGTCCCAACGCAGAACCTTACGCAAAAGGGCGTGGGATGCAACCATGAGCAGGTAGCTCACGTACTGGGTAGACGTAGGAGTCGAGCTGAGCAAAGAAGACGGTCATTCGATCCGTGAAGAGTAATTACTATTACACGTAGGATGATGCATAAAAGGGCACGAATGTACCACCAGTGACCGCAATGACTACTAGCACTGTTTGGAAGGCCGCTGTGACCAATGCACGGGCTATAGGTCTGAGCACAGAACTCTACAGGAGCCAGCTGATGCTTCATTCACTACCTCGAGAGTGAGGTCGCGATAAGCCGTGGATCACTAAGGGAAGTATAGACTAGTACTGGCTCGTTCGCCATTCGCCGACTCCGTTCCTCCTCACCTGATCGCTGTGAGTGAACTGATAGCTGAAACCCTGCTACTACTCTCAGTATCAGCAGGAGGTGTGTGATGCCTTCTATTCTCTGAGTTGCCATCCGCCGATTCACTGGATGAATGTGAAGTGGACGGCAGCATTGATCTCACACTATGGCATGGGACACCGAGGGTTATACTGTTGTCGGGAAATTCACCTGAGAGAATAACAATCAA